AAAATCTGTCGATCTTTAAAATATAACTAGTCACATAAACATAATTATTTGGTCGGTGGCGAAAAGAAATATGGATAAGATATTCAGTAGTATCAGTAAATGTTGTTTTTATTTATTAGAAAAGACGTGCAACTATCATATGACAAATGATGATTACTAATAAATATGACTTATTAGAGGATAATCATACATCTTATTTTTTCCTCAACTGTCGATGTACACAAAAATAAAATAGTTGTCACATTCTAACTAGGCAAGTACCACAATGCACATAATAAATGGTATAATATAAATAATATAGACAGTATAGTATGAATGGTATAGAATAAATAGTATAGTACGGGAAAAGTTAAAAAGAATGTACAATGTCATGAATGCAGGTTGATAGATAATTTTTCGTCAACGTGCATCCTGTAAATTTTCTCTATCTCTGTGTATACCATTTTTGATTATCGCTACCGTCCAAAGTTCAACCAATTATTCGTTTGGACTAGCAAGGTAAATCTAGAGTTTGAAGCGGAGAATAATCCTAACTTCTATTGGTCTAGAGTTTGAACACTTCTTTCAAGCGTGTCTTCTGTTTGATAATAGAATACAACAAGCAATAGTTCAATAGTATATCTTATGCCAATCAACTCACAATAACGTAGGGTAATTTCCTGATCGCAAATGTATATGAAGATGAAATTACAACATAGGAATAACTACACCGAAAGTGGAAGATATCGGAGGAGGTGAATGATTAAGTAAACATAATTAGGAAATAGCAAAGGATACAACAGCAGTTAATCGATCCAGTGGCAGCTTACAACGAGGAGAATGTAGAAATACAATAACACATTTATCTATTAACTATGCAATGAAAATATCAATAATAACCCATAAATTTGTCCCAAAAACGACATCATCAGTATTCATTCTTTCACAACACATACAGTAGAAGTAATAACAGGGGAAATAAGAGAAAAAATAAATAAGTTGTAACATAACATCATTTGAGCTAAAGTAATAAACCAAACTGTGTATTTTTTTATGTGGCAATTTGCTTATACTTCTTCAATATCAGCTAATTTATATGAATTGGATTTGTCTAAATCATTTTATAAGATAGATTAAAGTAATATTCGATTTTAATTAAATAAAAACGAGAACAATAGGATTCTCATTGAAAAAAAACTTTATAAATCACTCCTAGTACTTAAACATTTTATTAAGTAGTAAGCTAAGAAAAAGACTTTATGGGAGATCGAAATTATATTTATTTTTCAACAGAGATCAGTCTACTTTTGTGCAAAACAGATGACAAACGAACTATGAAGGAGGAAATTTGTTGACATAGAAAAGACCCACTCTATGTAGGTAGATAAACCAACCATCTATTTTCCTTAAGAGGAAAGGCTATAAATCAAATATCCAGATGGGACCTATTTACTATAACCCAAATTTCAAAGCTGAATAGCACAGTCACCTGGGATCTATGTGAATAACAACAAATATTACTGTAATTACTAAGTGCGCTGACTGAACATTTGTAGGGTGCAGTTTAAAGCAGTACATCTCGAGTACAGATGTATCGGAATATTTTGGATTTCAATCAACATTAGGAGCTAAACTTTGATGCAAATAATTACTTGTTTTTACCTGATCCTAACATTCTCAGACCTGATATCGGTCCAATCACTTTCATAGTTGGGTTACACTTTTTACATGAATTACTGTACATGGGATACCAAAGTTTCCTGGGGATCTACTGAAAATGTTTCCATATAATCTTAAGATAATTGTCTGTGAATTAAATAAATCGTATACGTTTGTTTTTTCCTTCAACATTATAATCCTTTTAGTAGAAAGTTATGTAGCTATTCATTTGAAAACAAAAACTATGGTTATTAACACAAACTTTTTAATCACAAGTATCCAAAAGAAGCACAAACATGTTAAGCTAGCTATAGTCGGTTACCAGACATTTCAGATAAATCGGTGACCGGTTAATAGTGCATACGACCAAGCGAATGAATGAACCAAGTTGTAGAGGCAAGTGATATTCCAGTTAAACAAGAACCATCACCCTCAGTTCGAAGTTGTGAAAACCTTCGGTGATTAGGAAGTTTCAAAATCGGACAAAGAATATAAACAATGGTGTTCATTCAGGTCAATGGTAAACTTTGGATTGAGACAAAAAGTATCAAACTAGATTATTCCGCACTACAATAGTTCAATACAATTACTAAATTAACGTAAAAGTGATTTTGAAAAAAGTACATTAAACCATTAATTTGGAATTTAGTTGCCATTCTACAAAAGGATTTTTCAGATGTCGTTAGTTTAAACGTTATGGCTTTAAGTTGACGGTCGATTTTTACCCTGTGCTAATTGTTGTGTCCTTGACTGGAAAATTAGAGCAGCGTACTTATCGATCGACTACAGTGACACGTAAACACGAACGAACGGCCTACAGTTCTGATTGGTCCTGCTTCCCTGTCCAGCCCAGCCAGTTGAGTCCAGAACACAAGCCACAACCTCTGAGATATGAATCATTATATTTCAAACATACTTTGTTTATATACCAATCAAGCACACCACATCGTACCATAAAATAGAAAACAACATTTTGTACAATATTCGACAAGTGAACAGATATCGACCAATAGGAAATGTCCATTTAAAGTCCAAGGACACCATTGGACTTAACATGATAATTATTGGTCTATTCCTCTGCATCCACAACATTAAATGATGCGGTTCTTCAGATTAAAAAGAGATGTTGTTATAAATTTTGCCCAGTTAACTATCACATGATAAGATTGCCAATCAGAACACGACTTATACAATCTTGATACTGTACCAAAACAATGACACGTCAACCAGTATGAGCAGTCAAGAGTCAACTCTGAGTCCTGATTAGTCCTTCCGCCTAGCACGACCTGTTTGAGTCCAGAATACAGCTTCTACTGCATGAATCAAATATTTCAGACATACATACAAGCTAATCAAACCATATCATACCACAAAATACAAAATAACAATTATACAAGAGCAAACCGAAAAGTGGGTGTGAATGTTAGAGGCTGTGACTAAGAGATCGAGAATAACTTAAGAATAGTAAATCGTATAGCAGTAGCCAATAGGTCAAATGAAAGTTTATGATAAATGGAATATGAATATAACCTATTTAATAGCTATCCAATATGAATATACGTAGTAATAGTCCATAAATAAGTTCGAGCAACTACCATTCATTAATTCTTCGTCGGGATATAACAGATGTGTTTGTCGATCTCCCCAAATCAATCAACAATGCTATCTCTATTCGACAGTTATGACCAAGATGTTCTGCAACAGTTATGGAGACATTTAAAGTTTCTGAGAGTTATCGAATCGAAGTAAAAGTTCACAAATTGAAATCACAGGTTACTTCTATGAATTCAGTTCATCAGGGGTATCAAATGATCAGTTGATCGGACAGTATTCGAATCTGATTTACTGTTCTGCACGGTTGCATTTTCTTTTAAGCACGTCAACAGGACCTGATTAAAGCAAATTTCGAATAAGACCACTTTGGAACTCGCTGACTGGTTCATCTTCAATCGATCAGCGTTAGTGAATGAGCTGAGAAGACTATAGAAATTTTCAGTGTAAAATTTTCATACAGTGATACTTTCTCATTATATTAACATAACTTCCTATCCGCTCTGAAATGTTTATACTTCCGTCTATATAGTGTTTCGATTCGAAAATCAGTTGAGTGAAAAAAGTATCTAAGAACACTAGGCCGAAGAAAACTTAATACAACGAATTATTGATTTCTACCAATGACAAATCATAAAGTGACACTACTCAGTATGACTACTACTTAGACTGTAATTACTTATTGGACATAAGAGTAAATCTACAAGAAATCAATTTTAAAGATAAATGTCACTATCATTAATCTTCAGATGTCGAACTCTCTCCTTTAAAGGTATCCTTTATACTATAAGTTACAAAACCAGTAAGCTTATTACATGCTCACCTATGCAAAATTATGTATTTCCGAAGTACAACATAAGACAATCTTCCAATGACTTCCTTCGTATTGATAACATATTTGCATTTAATGTAATTACAGATAAATTTGAGCCTTAAGTGAAAAATGGTCACTAGCATCAAAAAACAGACCATATACTTTCTTGCTGAACAAGTGGATTTGTGTATATACACCGCGAACTGATACACTGTAATATTCATCCACTCAGCTAAAACTGTATAACTAAACATCAGATAAAACTAAGTCGGCAAATAAGGGTTTGTACTTGATTATGCAGTGCAACATTATCAATGTAATGGTAACCTATTGTTATATTTTCAATTGAACATTTTTGAAGGTTACAATTAGCTGTAAAAAAAGTCCAGTTACTTCTCCTTCAAATGAACTGAACTATTTAGGAATACAGATACAACTCGATCGTATGTACTTATCATCTACATTAGCAATGCCTTGAATAGATCTGAAACGAATTCACAATGTACTTTGGAAAGTACTTTTGTATAAAACACTACGTTATTCAGGATGGTTTGTCCAATATAAACATTTATACTCACCTTATGACAGAAATTTGTAATGCAATAGGCTTCATTAAACTGTTAGATATCGAAGCGTACTATGCACTACTTAATTTTATCGCTTTTACTATTGTGTCTAAACATTTTTATACCAATTACTTGCCAAAAACAATTTCAAATAAGTAGCTTTTCGTGCTAATGTAAATTAACTTTGACACAAAAATAAGAAAGAAATCTTTACGTTGTGCTAAGGGCGATTCTGATGAAGACTAGTCAACTTGGAATGTACATCCAGAGCATTCTAAAACTGTTTTTTTCCAGTCAACTAGTGGAAAGGGTCACTTAACAATTACAGTACTTAGTTCCCAGTTATTTGGTTGCAGGTCCTAATCCCGCTACAGCTACTTCGGTTCCTGGTGAGTGACCCGGTACTACTGCTTCAAAGGAACACATAATAGTAATAAATAAATGGTAGTGTATTAGGCAACAATACTTAGATATGTGTATTTTTTGTCACAATCTGGTTCAAAAAGAGAAGTTTTAGTCATGACAAGTGAGTTGTACTGGTTGAATCAGACGAAAACACCCGTCAGATTAATGTGAAACTCCACTTGAGATAAAAAAAAAAATAAAACGAAAAAAAACAGATTCTGATTTTTAAAAATATAAAAAATCAAGTTATTTATTTTATCAGTCTTGCTGGATTAAACAACTCAATACCGGGTTGTTGTAATAAATCATCTTGGGCTTTTTTTTCATCCAGCTCCATTTGGTCGGTGACGTTTGAATTTGTGCTCTGTATTAAATTAGGATTATTTTTTAAAATGACAGCTGTTAAAAGGCGTCCAGATATAGGTCCAGTAAGAATTCCCCAACAAGAATTACCCGTGGCAATATAAACATTGGATAAACCAGGAATTTGACCAATGACAGGATAGCCATCACTCACTAGCGGTAAATAACAAGCAGATTCTGTTATCATCTCAGCATCTTTTAACGATGGGACTACACTAGTAACTATTTCTTTTAAACGATTACAACGCCAAGATTCAATTTCAACTTGGTCCTTTGAAGACGGTACAGGCTAGAAGGAATAATAATGAAGTTTAGAAATTTTATGAGATTATCACTAGTCATATTCAAATATGGGAAACCAATCGAAATGTATACTATGACAACGGAGATGTTCACAAACACAGATTTGTGTGAATGGCATCTGTTGATGAAAATAAATGAGTTAACTTGCAAGGACTGGGAAATCTTGGCTTTGAACCTGAGGTCCACGAAAGCTCAAAAGTTTGCATACATTTTATTTGATGACATTGAAATTAAAAACAGATATTTACAAAAAAACATGGAAATCTTATTTAAACTAGTAGGCCTGTTTTTTTAAATTGGTGGGAGTGAAAGTTGAGTTCCTTAGGAGTAATCAATATTGAGAAGACGAAAAACGAATCCAATAGACTTTTTCCAATCTTTATTCGATCCTAGGTTTTTGGTCACGACTATGTGTATGAATATAACGATAACAGTTTATAAACCAAAAACACAATGATTAAACTCACTGCTCCATCACCAAGACCACATACATAGACTGTATTATCAGGTCTTGGATAAACTTCAGGTGAACAAGAGAACTCAGAATTTTGATAATCCATGAACAAACACTTAGCATCTATTGGAGACTTCTCTATTTTTGGTTTCAATATGATACTATGAGCTCGCCTTCCATGAAATTTATTAGGATTTAAACATCCTAATGGTAACCAACTAACAGCTTCCTTTGACCATGGTCCTGTAGTAAGTATAACTAAACTGGCAGGGATAACTTCAGAATTTGAAGTAGATGATTCTATTACTCGAACACCACTAACTTTGGGAGCCGATGTATTCGATGTTGAAAACTCTAGTCCTATAACACGGGCAATTTTCAATTTTGTTCCTTGATTTGTTAAATATTGAGCACGCCGAAATAATTCATCTGTGAGTTTTTTGGGATGTACCTAATAGGAGTAATGTAATAAAATAAATAATACTCTGTTTTTTTTATTTTTACATGACAAAACTCAAAATGATGAAATAAAAATGTAATCTTGACTTTAACAGGTGACTATACATAGGGCATGTCTACTAAAGTTAAACACATAGGGAATGTAATAGTTGTCATCAATGCTATTGAATGGTTGTTACACTATATCACAAAATGGTTGAAATCATAATTGTACTATAGGACGCCAACCCAGTGGTTTTCATAGTCGAGCATTAGCTGTGAAAAACAGAGGTATTAAGTTCGACTCATGTCGCTATGAACCCGCACTGTTCAACAGACCCATGGTTTTCAGTAGTACATTAACTGAGATCAATCTGTGGCGAAAACAACCTACTAATCTGAATATTACTCAACTCTAAATTTTCATTACAATAAACGGGTTGTTTAGCTTAATTCCTGAAATCTTATAAAGAAAAACTAAAATGAATTCAGTAATCAACGATAAAGTGTTTGACTGGACGATCTTTGAAATTAAATCAATCATAGACACCACTAAATAGTATCAATACCAGTCGTTGTTGGGAAGGTTCTATGGTAAAATAATTCTTCATGTGAGTCAAATATCTGCACTTTGATCGTGCTCAACTGGGAGCACGAATTTGCCTTCATTTATTTAAATGTAAGAAAATCAAAACCGGAGGATCATTTATACTTCGGCTGAAAGATGAATCGAGTTATTTAGGGGAGAATCATCCAAACATTGAGAAAAAAGTCAGGGGGAACAGTCACAATCGGAATAATTTGGCATAAAGTCCAAAAAGCTATAAATACAAAGGCTATATCTATCAGCAACATAGACATAAGGTTAGGAAAAAACAGTGGATTTTAGAAGTTTCAATTGATATAACAGTTGCTCGGAAAATAAGATACAAACGCAATGAAATAAACAGACAGAAACCCTACACAATGATCGCAAGCAATAGTCGACCGTTAAAACAAAGGAAGTAGAAAAGTCGGAGGTGATAGGTAGTGGGATATAGCTCTTTAGAATTATCAAATGACCAGGTATTAAAAGCCAAGCCTTTAGTACGACTACTGAGGAAAAAGATGGCACCGTGGTCTGTATTCAGAACTGGTGTTGAGGACGATGAGTAAAATACTCTGAGGAATAGTTCAACTGGATTTCAGCTGTTATTTTTAGTTTAAAATTTAATCCTATTACATTAAACTTTTACGGTACGCAAAAAAATAACACATGTGAAACATTTACAGTAAAAAACGGATACCAATAAAAGTAAATGAACATTAGTGGTTTAAAACTAAATCAGTTTAGTGTTTAAGAGTTTATTTTACAAGGCCCTTGGAAGTACTCTTACCAACAAACAAGATACAAAACAAACCTGTGCAGTAGTTGTAGAGTCGCCTATCAGTGAACAATTTTTTACTTTCGCATTGACCCAAGATGGTGAATTTGAAGAACCGGAAGATTTCCCAGGAGATAATGATATAGAATACGTATTAACACGTCTATAATCACATGCACTACCGAACTCATCTGCTAATTTCATGTGCAAATCAAAACCGTTCTGAGCTAAAACATCCATTTCATTGTGAGAACACCAGTCCTTAGCAAGGAATCCCCCAGCTCGCCCAGATGCTGCAGATCCAAGTTGCTCTTTTTCAATTATTAGTGTGTCGACCTTCCTTTTTGACAGATAATAAGCGGTAGAAACACCCATGATACCACCTCCAACTATGATGACTGACATTATGGGGAGTTACATATGTACAGCCTAAATCTGAGTGACGGAATATGAACACAAATACACTGGATACATATATATCCTGAATCTGGTAGGCTTAGTAATCTCGTTCTTGTTTGAAAAATGAACTATGTTAGGACTGATCTAATAATGAAATTCTTTGACTTTGTATTTCGTTCAATTATGGAACACTACAATAAATGTAAAATAATAATTATATGGACATTCCAAATTTAAGATGTAACTGATGGTCTTAATCGAAGAACCTTCCAGATTTTAAATTCTATACGGCTCGCTCCGTGAAAACTCGAGCAGTTTTCTCACTTTTGTGATTTTACTTGGATTGCTAACTTCCTGTATGTTCTCTTTGTGATGTAAATTATAGGCTTGCTTCATTAAGTTTAACGAGCACTAGAGGTTTGTGTAGAAACCAATGAAAGATCTCTGGGTTAAAATCCGTACTATTACCTTTATAAAGTTTTGTTTGTTATGATGAGCCAGTCGGGCTAATGTCAACAAAAACACTAGTACTTTTCAGCTTTATGGTCCAACAAAAGTAGAGTAGAACAGCCAATGAGAAACCATTTTAAAAATTTATAAATCCTACAATCTTAGACTTTAGAGGGGAACGATATAGCTAACTTCTATTTCATGTGACACTGATATTTTATGACTGGTCTATGGTAATTTCGCGCTTCATATAAAAGCTGGTGTGCTTATCTACCGCAAGGACGAAGTATATGACAAATAGCTATAATTAATCTCAGGACCATATGCATATGAAACTTCACACTATTTAATCGACGGTCAGGAACTATAAGTTGCTGGTCGCTATAACTGCATAACAAAGGGCTACTGTGACTGTGACATTTCCAAATTATGAACAATCATTACAAAGTGACAATACTTCCCAAAGGCAATTTTCAGTTATTTAACATGATGGAATTCCTAGCATTGAACAATTATCATGATATTTTTCCCCACCATGTTAATTTTCGAGTTTCGATCGTTCATCACGAATCAAGATTAGTGTTTTTAATTTAACTCAATCTGTGTTAGTTAAAGTATTAGGAGTCGCGTTTTTGCATCTGTAATCAGATTGGGTACAATAGTTTTTCTGGTTATCGATCTCTATGAGCCAAACGGTTCATTTGTGCTTTCTAACCCAACTTTGCGTGTCAGTTTTAGCCTCTGGGTGTTTTTTTCCAATTTATTTGAAAGTTTTCGAATGATGACATGATAGTGTGCAAAAGAAATTGTTAACGCTCGAGTTGTCTTAACCTGTAAACAGCAATTAAACTTTTAGTTTCCTATTTGTTCAATGTCAGACTCAGTGAGTGGGTATCGCCACTTGGCAACTTATTCGTCAGAGTTAGGACTTCAAAGACTTCATCAGAGAGATCAGTCTTTATGCAGCATTCTCTACATAACGGGAGTGAAGGCGGTCTGCAGGAATGCTTATGCGCAGTCGGTGATAGATTGCTACACATTTTGTGGGACCATCTGTACTTGTCACACAGCATACCATCTTGAACAAAGAGATAGTTTTCGACCTCATCGATAACGTTAGACGATGATTATAAACAGCATATGGATAAAACAGATAATCACAAAAATTCGGAAATTATAATGGTACTACAGTGAATATGAAAATGTACCAGAAATGTAACTTTAAAGTGATAGTTAAAGAAACGAAACGTCAAAAACGTTGGCAAACCAAACTCTGGGAAATACATGGGAAAACGGAGAATATGAATATACAGACACGAACCAACAAATAAATTTAAACTAGTGTAGACTGAAGTAAAAGGCGTGTGAAAAGGTATTTCGCAAACTTAACGCTAGAAGCGTTAAATGGTTTTAGATCTAGCTTCTGCTTTGATAAACGCACCAGAAATCTAATGTTTTAAAACATGGGAAAATTCATTCTTTAAACAGATAACGCACTTATTGGATCCGAGCAACACTGCTGGCACAATCACACGCATTCAGGACAACTACACCTAAAATTTTCAAGTGCTGGATTTTTAAAAAGTTTTCGGTATCGTCCTTTGCACTCATCATACCCCACACCACTCCTCCAGTTAAGAAAACTCGAGTGTTAACAATTTCTTTTGCACACTATCATGTCATCATTCGAAAACTTTCAAATAAATTGGAAAAAACCACCCAGAGGCTAAGACTGACACGCAAAGTTGGGTTAGAAAGCACAAATGAACCGTTTGGCTCATAGAGATCGATAACCAGAAAAACTATTGTACCCAATCTGATTACAGATGCAAAAGCTTCAGTTTCAGTTTGGAAAGGACAAGAGGCTTGATGGCCTGTGTTAGTACTGGCAATGGTGGTCTCTCAGTTGATCCAACATTCTTTTCAAAGAGCCTCAACCACGTGCTGAGGCAATTAATTCCACTTGATGATTCGATGGGAAAGTCGACGGTCAACTGACAAGTACTATGTTCTGGGCTTGTGAACATTTCTGAAGTGCCCTCGTAAATTCTCTGTTTTGAAAGACAAGAAAAATGAGGGCATATCAGGTGCAAATTTATCACTAAGCAATTTGAAAACTGTAATCAAGTCGCCTCTAGTTCTGCGATATGACAACGGGAATAGGTTTAGCTTGACCAGTCGAGCATCATACGGGAGCTTTGCTATTCCGGGAATCAGCTTAGTTGCTGTTCTTTGAACCTTTTCCAAAAGCTTACTGTCTTTTTTAAAGCACGGGCTGGCCGCTTGTATGCAGTACTCAAGTTTAGGACGTGCGAACAATGTATATATACATCACAACACACTTGGGAGTATTTATCGACAACTGCCAGGTTTGAGACCATTCAGATAATTTCTTCAGGTCATTTTGGAGTTTTAAGCTATCACCCTTACATCGTATCGTTCTCTATATCTTGACATCGTCAGAATATAGCAAGACCGATGATGATAGGAGACGAGGAAGATCATTTAGATACAAGAGGAATAGCACTGGCCCAAAAAATGTACCCTGGGGCACTCCATTAAGCATAGTTCCCCAGCTAGATAACTTTGAGTTCACCCGTACTCTTTGTTGGCACCCAACTTGGAAGTCATTTATCCAAATCAATAGATTGCCTCCAATCCGACATTTCTTAGCTTCTATAACAGCCGGTTGTGTAGAACTTTGTCAAAAGCTTTGCTGAAATCAATGTAGGCTACATCTACAGGTAACTTTTGGTCCTTAAGAGCGCACCAGCTTTCACGAGCCACTAACAAGTTAGTGAGACAAGAATAACATATTCTGAAACCATGCTGCTTCTCCGAAAGGATCCGGTTTTCATCGAGGTACCTAAACAGCTCCCTTTGAATAATCTTTTTCAAGATTTTAACAACCACACTAGTTAGGCTAACTGGTCGGTAATTCTCAGGTTTATGTCTCGTACCTGTTTTGAAGACAGGAATTACTATGGCGTTCTTCCTGTCTCTCAGTACACGACCCTGCGTTACGGATAGATTAAAGCATATACTTAAAGGGTTCGCAACGCAGTTAGATAATTCCTTTAGTAGCCTAGGATGCAATCCATCGGGTCCCGTGGATTTACCTATGTCAAGTCTATTTAGCAGACTGAAGACATCGGGGTTTTAAATGGTCACGCTATCCAGTGTATGTGTGGGAGGATTTATATGCGCTGACAGGAAGGGTGGTTTTATGGTATATACACTGCTAAAGTAGTTCGAAAACAATTGAGCCTTACTAAAGTCGTCCTGCACTAATGATGCGGCGGTACTATCTCCTCATAGTGCAGGAATACTTTCTCTTCTTTTTGTCCTTCGGTTTATATAGGAATACAAGCGTCTAGGACATTCTATGGATTCCTTAACAATTCTTTTCTTCGTACAACTTTATAGACTTACGGAGGGTCGGAACACAGGTATTCTGAGCTTTTCGATACTGAGACTTTGTCTCACCAGTCCCCCTCCTTATTGAGCCATGGTGGAGAGTTTTTCGGCCCCCTTGGTACAGTCCAAGAGATGTGGGGTGCGGTAACTTTTAAGTATAAATTTCGAAATAAGACGCGACCCTTAATACTTTAAATGAAACAGATTGAGTTGAAGTAAAAACACTAATCTTGATGCGTGATGAACGATTGAAACTCAAAATTTAACTTGGTGGTGTAGAATATCATGATAAAGCTTACCGAAATACCGGGTTGAACGACAAACCACTCCAATATCAGACGGTCGTCACCAATGGCCTTGACTTTGTAGCGGTAAATAAATCCTCAAAATCAATAGCCCTATAGGTCTTCGATATTTGATACCGATCACATTAATTTTAATGGACTCACCTAGCTGAAGTCGCTCGGTCACGCATCCGCATCAAATCACGAGTGGAAACTGAATGTCGAGCTCAACTTTTCCTGCAATCACTAGCCAGTCTAGACCAGTCGATTCTCGATATATTGATAGTCTATCATATATATCTTCGTACCTCCTTGCTTCTGACTTTTGATTTCACTAGGCGTATACGATTCATAGTAGGTGTTACTGGTTAGAGCGTTGTCAAACTTCAACTTCAAGATTAACGGTGGGCTTTAGAAATTTAAATTATCCGTGAGCAGAATCAAGTGTGTAGGACTACATGTTTTTCAGATATTCTGATATTTACATAATCTGTTGATGTTTGAAAACCGTCACACTTTTTCTTCATAGCACAAATTGCTCTTTTTGTTGCTTTTCAGTGCATATCTAAATTTAGTTACTGCTTCCACACTTTCCGAAAACCATAGGTTGGCTAGTTCTTCTGGAGAGCCTTGAAAGAGTAACTAGCATTTATAAATACAAATGTATCCGGTTTCGAAAGTTTACAATCGTCCTATTCTTGAAGTTGAAGTAAAAATGTCTGAAAATCCATGAGTTTGTATCTGACTTTCCCTTTCAGATTCAGATTCGAATTTATGCTTCATTACAGGCTATACCAACTGATTTTCGTATTTTCCATGAGCTGCGTGAATTGTGCATATACATTGTGACATTCCTTCGTGTTTGCTCTGTCAAGGCTGATAGCGACATTTCAACATTTATTATTTTGTGTTAATAAACATGTGATATCCCAGTCTATCCAGAAGTGGCTGTGCACCACCTATTTGGGACTGTCCAGGGTACAAATGGTCGAGTTTCTCAATCGTAAAATTACTGGAAATAGATCCATGCCGAGGCTGCAGAGCTGTATGCCTTCATGTCTGTCTTCTGTATGTAAGCACGGGCCGGTAAAACTTCCTGAAATACCATATCCCCCATGAACTGGAATAAGATGACTGCATGATCACTTCTCCTTATATATGGTAGTATCACCATTTGAATGACATCATCACCGTGCGTGAAGACCAAGTCTAAGACAGACGAGGGATTTCGAAAGTTATATCTGGTGGGATCCCATATGTGTTGGAACGAAATCGGGTCAATTGTGGTTTCTGACGATTTGTGATCATTTGATGTTTCTGGTAACCCTACTTCTAAGTTGCATCAAAGTTAACTACTACAAGACTTTTACACTTGTTTAACCAGTATTTAAGTTTATTTAAGAGGAGGTCATCATTTGATTATCCTGGACTGCAGCATGCCATTTGCACTTGAAATGGCACCACCTTAGCTCACATTTCTCCGAGTCGTGTGACATAGCCTTTACAGCGCGTATGGTTAAATTGTTTATTAAGTACAGGATAGCTCCACCACCCCTACAGTTGGGTCTGTAAGCCCAATGAAGTAAGAAGCCAGTCAGCTGAACTCGTATAAACTTTTGACGTTAGTCATGTTTCTAAGATGGGAATAACATTAGGGTTTTCTGTATCAGTCACGTTTTTGAGCTCCGTGAATATATTTACTAGGCTGACAGAACATGTATATAATGCCTTTAGTTCTGCGGAATGCTTTCTCGTACTACCCGGAGTGGTTTAGCCATCGTTTTGCACTGAACTTTACAATGTGAAAATCCTCAAGTAGAAGGTTTTTTCAACGGTTCCGGTAGTGCTCATTTGTTTCTGTCTACAACGACTGTCTCTTAATATGATCAATCAGATCATGAATCTCACGGACATATATTCAAGATCCAGTTAGTTTTCGTGGATTTCCTAGTATTTGGTTTCTTCACCAAGCGGAACCAAAAGTAACTTCTAGAGGCGACTAGCCTACTTACTTTTAGAGTCCAATTTTTGTCCTGTTTTGTGGCGTATATAAATGCTAACTCCTGATACTGTTTCCAGCAGTAGCTTGCTTCTTGAGGAATAAATGTGTTCTCGACCGTTTCAAACCTAGCCTTTGGTTCCTTTACGGAAGACCCACTTAACTGTGAGCCAATCATTGACTTTATTTTGTTTCTTGATCAAATCTTCTACAAAGTTGAAATGGTGTTCTGTAGTTGAGACCTTCAAAGCACATATTTCGGAACTCAATGTATTTTTTTTAATTCTGTGATTTTTTTCCTTGTAACTATGCCTAATATCTGTTTGTCATCCACTACGTTATGGTGGTCCACCTTGATGGCTTCATTCAGATCTACAGCTGGACTCATGATGATGCTCGTCGCTTCACTGAATTTTGATAGCTGCTAATCTGCTGCAGGTTGTTGGACTGAAGTCACCTCTCTGGCAGTGTTTAGCAGCTCAAGAACCAGCAGAAAAGCTTTATAGCACCATGCCTTGAACATCCAACGTGATAGTGGCTTGCAGCAAACGTTATATGCTGTCAGTGTGAGTCTGGTCCACATGCTTTGATATTACTTATTGCAGTTGTCACACTGAATTCCATCCTCAACCAGAGAGTAGACAGTGAGTCTACCACAACGTTGTTTTAGTTGTGCAATTAAAATTCCTTAAAGTGCTCACGAAGAGAACAACACGAAAAATCTCTTAAACCACACGGAATGCTAACCATCTCCTTTTTCGGTGAATTAACAGTGTTCGTTATACCTTCTGCAATTAATTCTGAAATGTCAGCTACTTAAAGTTGAGATAGCTTCAAATCAATTTTGTTTCACTGAAAGCACAGAGATTAATGAGTTGTATGTTATTAAAAACTAAGTAAAAATTTCCAAAGTTGTATTCTCAAAATGCCTGAAATTTATAAAACACACGTTGGTTAGCCAAACATTAAATGCAAGATGGTGCATTAGCTAAATTGTGAGAAGTGTCTGCCCTTTGTACAGTGTATTTGTTAATGCATTTATTGCGATTCAACACCTATCCGAGGTTGGTTACTAGATATAGGTATTATTCTCCGACTCTGACTCCCAACTCTCACTGTCAACATCGAATCCCATAAATTCGAAATCAAAAGAGTAATAAAGCTGGCATCGCTCGGTGACGATAACCCCACGGGATTATAACAGTACTTAGTAAACCAACAGACATCTTAGTATATAATTTCAGCCACTTACATTTGTCATGAAGATTTGTTAGACAGTTAAGGTGAGTTAACGAAGCTATTATTCCACTGTTATTTTGCTTTACGATTAACTAGAGAATTGCTCAGAATCATAACCATGATATATATTCAACAGTACTGTTACCGTTTAAAATCCGTTGAACGAGAAAGTAATTGTTGTAATATAGCCCAAGTCTAACGACCGAAATGCCAATATTCTGCTTGAATGCAGAACTAACGAACCAAAATGTATTCTATTAGACTAGAATACAGTTTTGTATAGCGTACAAGGCGTTTTCGAGTTACTTTTATTAAATTACATCAAAACACAAACTCTGTGCTCAATTTGAACGGTTATAATATAAGGCAGAGAACAAATTATATCAAAAATAAAAAGTACCTCAAATGGTACAGCCTGTAGTATTTAGTCAAGGGTTTCTCTAACACAAATCAGAGTGCTAAATATTAAAAAAATAGGTAATACACAGGAGTTCAACACCTGAGAATCAGTAAATATGTTCCCAAAAAGATTGTATCAGATATCTATCTTCAAGAATTCCAGCAATACATCTTGGCAGACAGTCAAAGGTTAAAGGTCACGCATTAAATCACATCATGACCTTAAGTTCAGTCAAACGCCACCTTATTGTCCGGTAACATGTAACATAAAAATTAAGTAACAAGGGTAAGTCTTTAACCAAAGCCACATAATAAAAACTCAGACTAGGAAGACTGAAAAACCCAATGTGTGACTAGAAGCGATCTAAGCAAAGGTTAAAATACACAACAGGAAGAAGAAATAAAACAAATAAGAATATTGTCCCACGAAATGCTCTGGAGGTATTTTCCGCTACACTAAGCGTTATACCTTATTCACTGTTTGGTAGTACGGTCAATATGTTTATCGACGTCAGGGATTTGGGGACTAAAATGCCTGCGACTTTTACTGAATTAGTCACAACATGACTTTAAGCTTGATTTGAATGTTCATTCATACAGCATCTATGAACGTATTAAGCAGTTTCACCAAAACGGTGTTTAACTGATAGATTTCCAAAAGTTTTGTTGTAAAATTTTTCTGACTCATCAATTCGATCTTTTAGTAAATTTACTGAGGTAGCATTCTATCTCTGAAACCTTGTTGTATATTGTTGATGAAACTGAATTATTATCATGTACCACAAAAATAATGGATAAAAAGATATAAACGCCTGTTTTATATATATATATATATATATATATATATATATATATACATGCAGCAACGTTGTTTGGGTCGAGTTGGAGATCCTACATGTTCTTAGTTTAGGACCATAAAGGAAACTGTCTGTTATAATGACTGTTTGATATGCTTTGAGTAGCTGACCATGTTGAGGTCTATAACAAGGCTTGTCCCTGTAGTTTGGAGATGAAACTCCTAACCTATGGAGCCTCTCATGTAATACTATCCCTTAGCTCAACAACCCCTTCTGTTGCCTGACTTAGGATTTTCCTGGAAAAATTACCATCTGTATTCACGAAGACTGGTGGTTGTCGATGTGTGGCCTAACGTACATATTGAACTGATTAAAGATCAGTTTGGACGTCGGAAAACCTAAATCTACGCGGGCAACGTGAGGCATAAAACAAACTATGTCTAGTACACATGTGTAGTTTTCTATCTGACAATAAGCTCAGACCACGCTTTATTGAAAAAGTGTTATTAAAAGATGAAGTAAGGTGTTGACAACAATTTGGAGGTGTGGTTTTATACGATTTAGCATTTTTAATTGCCTACCATCCTACTGATATCTGAATCCACGGTAAACTTATGACCCGACATTTTGATGCCTCCCAAGTCTCAGATAATTTATATGGGTGTGAAGTGATCAAACAGGTTGTTTTGAAAGGAAACTATAAATCCTCAGGAAAGAACAAGGGATGGTCGTTTGCAATGCTAGATATTCTGGCACTCTTCAGATTATCCACATACTGTCGACTTTGAAGTAGAACGCTCAGCCTTTCAACTAACTTCGAAGATCAGACATGAAAGAGTTAATGAGACTAATCTGAACCAACTTTATGACTAGGAAGTTATTTTTAACAACATTCAATATTTTGACAAAATCAGACACAGTGAATGAACCGTTACTTTCCTTTATCAGTAGGCTTTTAAAATTTCGCATAAAAGCCAAGGCGATAGGTACACATAACCTGGCGTTTATGAGC